TATGGAGTTGTATATAAGGGTAGACACAAAACTACAGGTCAAGTGGTAGCCATGAAGAAAATCAGACTAGAAAGTGAAGAGGAAGGGGTTCCTAGCACTGCAATTCGGGAAATTTCTCTATTAAAAGAACTTCGTCATCCAAATATAGTCAGGTATGGTATGATATCTGAATTTAAGCCATTTTTTGCATCCTATTTCAAACATGAATTTCAATCTGGAAAATACTACATTTTCTTAATTTCTGGGCTAACCTTGCTGAGTGGAACAGAGTCCTACTCTTTATTGATTGTGAATGCTGGGCATAAGTAAAAGAATAGCCTATTAAAGCAAGAACAGAATTAGAAGGGCTTAGTTGTAGAAATTTGTTTTGGGAGCTGGAAAGCAAGTTAACTGTGGCTTTTATTTTATTTTATTTTTTGTACTGGGGATCGAACTCAGGACCTTGTGCTTGTGAAGCAGGTGGCGGAACCACTGAGCTAAATCCCCAGCCAACTGGCTTTTAAAAGAAGCCTGGAAAGGCTTTGTCAGCTATCTCCAATTCTGGGGGCTCTAGTCCTAAAGATCACCCTCTTCGTGAGGCAGGTAGCTACTTCAGATGAAAAAGAAAAGATCGTTTTTATTTTAAATGTTTGATTTTTGGAGAAATTGTCTTCCTAATGGTTCAAATTAGTCTGGAGAGGGCAGTCATTAAGGTTAGATTCTACTTTAAAGTTTATTTCTATCATTTTCTTAAATGGGAGGACAAGCTCTGAGCAATGGGTAGCTAATCTAGACTCATTATTTTAGAATACAGGTTATTAGTAAGTTAGCACCTCTATATAATAAAACTTAATTTTAAATTGTTCTCCTGACACTCCTTTTTCAAATTCCAGGTTTGTATTAAGATTTTTTCTAGTTTGAGAACTACCATCTCTTTCCCTTTTTATAATAATTATTATTACTTGTAGAAGTTATTTTATTTTGTGAAAGGCTGAGAATGTTTATTGGAATTTTTCTTTCATTTATTTATTTTTTTGGGGGGGGTACTGGGGATCGAACTTGGGACCTTGTGCTTGCGAGGCAGGCATTGGAACCACTGAGCTAAATCCCCGACCCTCATTTAATTATTTTTATTCTTCAGTCTTCAGGATGTGCTTATGCAGGATTCCAGATTATATCTCATTTTCGAATTCCTTTCCATGGATCTCAAGAAATACTTGGATTCTATCCCTGCTGGGCAGTTCATGGATTCATCACTTGTTAAGGCAAGAAATTTAACTATTTTTATTAATACTTATGCACTGTGAATGAAGTCTCTATGTAGAAGCCCTTGAATTTTGAGGGAATATGCTTGGAAAAATTGTTCAAAAATAGAATGAGAGTATTTCACCTTCCTCCCACTCAGATTAAATTAACATTTACCTATAAGATAGTACTGCTAGCAAGTGAAAAGTAATGCCCGTGATAACATGAACCTGAAAATAATACAATGTATTATATTTGGGAATTCTTGTCTTTCTTTGGTTGTCGGATAGGTTTAAAATAGCAAAGACCTAAAGCAGGTAGTGGTGCTAGATGGCTTTATTTTATTCTCATTTAAGATGTTTTCAAGTTGTGTATGTTGTACATGTTTGTAATCCCAGCACTCAGGAAGATGAGGCAGGAGGGTTGAAATTTTGAGACTGGCCTGGGCTATTAATTACATATCAAGTTCAAGACTACCCTATATTGCTTAGACATCCTGTTTCTAACAACCAAAAAAAAAAAAAGATATGCTTTGGTTAATATATTCTAGACATTTATTATATTTCATTCAAATTAAAAACATAGTTTTAAGAGTGTTAAAATGCAACAGTATTTTATTTACATTCTAACTTTAACTGACCATTCTTCAGAGGTAGCTATTTTATTTGTAATCTTATAAATCTCTTATATAAAGAAAATTATATATAAACTTTTTGATGTAAATTGTTCAGATATGTACATATTTCTGTGTCTCTTTGCATTTTTGATAGAATTATTTAAGCCATTTCCATGTTTAAGGACAGTTAGGTGTTTTCTAACTTGGTGGTTGTTGCTCTTATTAACAATGCTGCAGTGAATATTTTTGTATATATTTATCTTTGTATGTAACTTTATAGGATAAATTTCTATCATGTGAAAAAAGCATACTAATATTTTTAATTTGACACATAACATTTTGTTTGTTTAGTCACTTATAAATAGCCAGCACCTACTTACTGGTTTTAATAATTTCTTTTGTTACCTTTTCCTTTTTATGTTCACCTTATTAGTTGTGTATACTGTTAATAAATTTTCTAATATATGTAAAAGGCCTTGTCTGACTTTCAGACTTTCAGTTTTATATCTTGTTTAAGCTTTAAGCTTAAGAAGAGTAAATGACAATATTTTTCTAGTGCTTTTAGTAGGCCTTTTTACCACACTCCATCGTATCTTTTCTGTCTTCATTCTGGACAGATGATTTACCTTGGGTGAAGAAGTGGGTATAAATCCAACTTTATTTCCAAATAGCCAGTTGTTCTAACTCGTTTTATGTATTTTCTAATTTCACACTTTGCAGTCAGTATTTTATTGTGTATGATATTTCTGTAATGCCATGTTTCTTAAATATATGATCAGTATGCTCTTTGTCATTTCTTTTGAAATCTTTGACTAATGTTCTCAAAGAGGAGATGTATGTAGAAAGAGAGGTAGAAATGAAAAAGAAAAACTTCATTTAGTATAAAAACACAGCTGGTATAAGCATTTAGAAAAAAAATTAAGAGAATTCTACATAGAAGACTTAACCTGAGATTTAAGGACAAAGTGCCAAAAATGAGTAAAAGTGGATAAAGTGAGTTCATATGGATACAGATATGTCCATAAGTGAATCTTTCTGTTGGTTATACAAGCATATTGTATATACATGGGCTTCCTATACACAAATGCTTGTTAGTTTAAAACGTCCTAAAAGCTTTTCTGGTAAATATTTCCTAGCATTATGTCTTATGTCTTTGGAACAAATGGAGTAAAGACTAGTTAGAAAATCATTTGTGGTATGATTAAGTTTCTTATATTTTCTTTTTCCAGAGTTATCTGTACCAGATCCTTCAGGGTATTGTCTTTTGTCACTCAAGAAGAGTTCTTCACAGAGACTTAAAACCTCAAAATCTGTTGATTGATGACAAAGGAACAATTAAACTGGCTGACT